TTCATAATGACCTTGCATAACTTCTATGCAAATATCTTTTGTCAAAAACTTATTCTGCAGCAGCTTATTTAAAAAAAATCTGTATTTGAAACCTTGTCTACTGTCATAACTACAACTTTATTGGCCAAGCTTGTGAACACATACAAGGAATCTGACTCTTTGTTTCTCTCAATTAAATTACACACTAATAGACATACAGCAGAACATGAACAACAAAGCTTAACAATGTCAAGTCAAATCAGTGTTATTTATATAACCCCCTATGGGGATTCACAATCTGTACAGCATACATCATCCTCTATCCTGAGACCCTCGACTCGGATGAGGAGCAACTCCCATTAAAGGGGAGAATTGAAGAAACCCTGGAATGAACTTAACTGGCGTACAACCTTGAGGAAGTCAAGTATAAAGTAAACTCTCAAAACCCAAATTTCTCTTTTTGGATAAAATGTATATTATAAAATGTATGTAGTTATATTTAAATGTCATTTAACCGATTACATGCAGACATAGAGAGAAAAGCACTTGGACGAGCCAGAGATACAGCACTGTAGAGTGTTTGTCCTGACAGAAGTGAGACTTTATTTAGTAATTATTTGATGTAATCCTGTGAAGAGCTCTGTCTCTGCTAACAGTGACAACCAGGGATTAAACCTGTCGCAGCTGTCTCATCTGAATAAATCCAATGCACTTTAATCCTGCGTCATTCCCACACCTGCTCTATAAAGAGGTGTTATTAAATCTTCTAAATAGATTTCTGGAACAAAAAGTGAAAAGCTACAGTTTTCTATGCAGGATAAATAAATATTATACAGAGCACATTACAGACCAGAACACTTGCAGTGAGCAAAGGAATTAATAAAGTAAATCAGGCCATAATTAAAGCATCCACTGACTTGGCATTTAGGTCCTTTTCAGACCTTACTACATGGAACATGGAAACATAACATATATGCAAAAAAATCTATTGAACATTCAGACAAATACATAAAATATGAACTAAATTAACCTCATTTAAACCTACATAGGATCTTTTGCTCTGCACACACAGGGTTTTAGAGGAAAAAGGAACTTAAGAGGCCTTAACGGTGGTATTTACATACGTAATATCAATTTATTCTTCAAATTTTCCACCTGGGCATACTTTAAAAAAAGTGAAGATAACTGGGAGTGAGACCCTAACTTCTTCATTAATGATGAGAACCTCTTGAATGGTTGTGTGGCCAAAGTTTTAACCACCAGAGACAGCGGCAGTGCTCTGCCTCTGTAACTAAGTGTGGATTTAACCTTTAACACCAACCCTGTCATCAGCACTGTCACTATGCATGTTAAATTCAGGCGAACAGCACAGGAATGTAGAAATGAAAGGAATGCACACATAATCCTCCTCCTCATATGCTGAACAGAATCTGATTTGTTAACATTGAATAATCCCCAAATTTAATGAGCCAACATGATTTATGTGAACTCCTACTTTGTTTCAAGGCATTCATGAATGATCACACTTGTTTGTCCTGGTTGAAATACATAATGAGGTTATTGTTAGATGGGGAGATACAAAGGATGTTATTGGGCTTTATTTACAGAGGAAGAACCTTAAAAAATAGTAAGGGAGGCATCTGACATTCATGTAGTGATAATCCTTTACAAATTATATACTACTAAATCTAAAATGTGTTTTGCAATGTTGCTTCATTCTTAAGATAAGTTTGCACCCAAAACTTAAGCCTTTGTCAACATTTAGCATATGCCAAATAGTTGATAAATGAGGCTTCTTCCCTTGAGATTCAAGGGGTGAACTGAGTGAACTCAACAAATAAAAATTAATTAATTAAAAAATCTGTTTCTGGATGGTTTCCATAGTTTCTGAGAAGAATGTGTCCACAAATGCAGAATTTTGGAACTAAAGCCAATTTTGAATTTGCTGGACTTAAACTAAAGTGGTAGATCTCATAATGGACTGTCTCAGACTTAGCTCTTGTCCCTAAATGTACCACCGGATTGCGAGGAATGTATTGTCTGTGCAGCAGCAGATTTGTGGATCATCCATCGTGACAGGGATTTCATACTAGTGCATGACCCTTGCTGACCACTCGCACTCTGTTGGGAATTTAAAGGGGCTACGAAGGTAAAGATGAGGAGGGATTTCACTCTCGCAGACTTCCCCCCGAGGAGTTTTTTTCTTTGTTTGCCTGTCTTCGTTGCTTCAGTCCGAACCTTAATCCTCCAAAACAGAGCCAGGCCTCAAAATTCCTAATCCCAAATGGGATTTACTTCACTCTCTCTGTGTCTCCTGAGCCATTTAGGGGTTGAAGAGGCCATCCACTGGAATTCCTTTTCTACCTCTGTCCTCTTAAATCTCAGTATGTGGCCAGAGAGCCACTTCCAGCCTATTGATGTCATGCCCTCCTCCTCTCCCTCATGCCACAGACTTCACAGGATATTCTCGAATTAGACATGTATGATGTTTGTTTGCTCATGAACATGTGTTCTAAAAATGGCATGAGAGGGAACTGTCAGAGGTCGGGAGGAAGTGAAGGAGTTGCTGATATAAGATGTACATGTGACAATAGAAATTACAACCTTGCAATAAAACGAAGGCCATTAAATCTTCCACCAGGTTCACAGTGTGTTGTTACGAGCTGCAATGGGGAAATATTGGGTTTCTTAACGGGTTGATTTGGCTTATTGTTCAGCTTTTGCATGCCAAACTCTTGGTTACTGGCAGATTTATCGTGACACAGGTGCCTCAGAAGTCAGTTAGTGTCAAAGACCTCAACCACATATGCACCTGTTGAGCTAGACTTGTCAGTTTTTATTATCTCTGCTGGATGTTCAGTGTTGGTCCAATGAAGGAGGTGTCTCGTAGAAACCATCCTCTCTCTTTTTTCCTTGTCTCAGTTTCACCGCTTCCCTCTTTTTCTTTCCTTTCTCCGTGGAAAAACTCAGTCGAGGCTGTGCCCTCAAAAGCTGCTGACTGACTTTCCCCTTTGGCTACGCAAGCCAGTAAACAAGCCTCAGAGGAACGCGGAGGGTAGAGCGGGGATACATATTCAGCTAGAGGAAATAAAGACACTGACACTGTAAATGAAATACAGAGAGACAGTGCTCCCTCAGTCCTCAGCTCCCTCCTCGTTGGGTTTGTGTTTGTGAGGAGGCAGACAGACTAGTGCTCCTTTGCACATGGTTTCTGTCCATAACCACAGAAAGCTTTTTTTAGACCGGGGGGAGACAGGGTGTGGATGACTGTGTACCTACCACGACTATATGAGCAAACAGCATAGACCAACTCTAAGTGTGTCCAGACTCACATGCCGCACAAAAACCGACCATAAACAACGCCTCGGCAGGGCGGTTCAGACCGAAGTGTTATGATGAAATTATACATTGGTGTCAGTTCTCGTAGACACTTAAGAAAACACGCTGCACTAAGAGAGGATTGTCTCTTTTTAAACAGATTTACAGCAGGTAATTGTGTTGCATAATAGCAGCAATTAACTGCAATGTTTTTCCTATTGTCAGTCATTTGTTCAATCTCATTTAGAGGACAATAATTCGATATTTCAAATTGCTTTTTGCACATGGAAAACTCCCGCCCTTAATGTCAGTTTTAGCACAGTCATGTGAATGCAGGCTCCCACAGGCACACTCTGTCTTTCTTATCCTTTACTTGTATTGTTTTGTCCTTGACTAAATTCGTCAGACAGTTAAACACAGTCAGCGTTGACCTTCAGCTGGAGTTCATGTGCTGTTGTTGCATTTATTAAAACACTGTTGTTAAGTGTGAATAATGCTGAGAGTAAATGATTCATGGTACAGTTTGAAAACGGCTTCTTCCATAAGCTTCTTACACACAGTTTACTCCAATACATTCAAACAAACTGGTGTTTTAACAGTTAATCAGTTATTTGCTCACTTATTGGGTATTTCCATTGTGCTTCCGGGGAAATATGACTAACCACAACACGAACAGCCTGTAATTTTCTAGTAAGTTATTTAGGCTAATTTGATGCCAGCTGCTACAGGCAAAGAGTGCATGTAGTTGGGGTGTTTTCGAACCTCTATCGTGCTTGAGAAAGGAAATGACTTCTCGATTGTGCAACTCAGAGTGGCAAATTCATTCCAGCGGCCTTCTTTTTCACACAACAAAGCAAGTCAAGCAGCCAAAAAATGTGTCCCCCCCAAATAAGAGTTTGATTGTACGGACCGCTTTCAGTGACCATAATTATCACTACACAGGATTATGGGATTATTATTTCCCATCAGATATTATGTAGTATCGTTATACGATGGTATCTTTGTCTTTAATTGCTCTGCGTATATTGGGCCATTGTTGCAAACACATGATCAGGAATGCTATGTGGCAATATTTAGTAATTTATAGTGTGATAGAGGGGCATTGCATTTAATGGTGTTTATTGGGCAAATAACAACAAAAATTTGGAATAAACAAAATATATCTAACTTTGATGGTTATATCTCTCTATTGCCAGTTGGTAATAATCTAATAAGTGACTGGAAGCTCGCTGTACCTTTGAAGTATCACATCATCTGAGCGTGTTTCTATGGTTTGTGACAATAAAGAGTTTATTCATAACCAAAGAGACAGACACATCCAGATTTGTGTAGATGACATTTTAACGTCATCTCACACTAAAATACAAATTTCCTCCGCCTCCATCTGGTCGCCTCCTTCTAGTGCTGCGTTTTGGGACCATCGGCAATGCTACAATCACTAGTTCAGGGAAGTTGAATCACCTGCAAATCAAAGTGTTACTGCATGTATGTATGGATTTTTTCTCTCAGTTACTAGGACTAAAAGGATGTTGCTTATTGTGTGTTGGCTTATACTTTTTTTTTTGAATGATATGCAATCTAAGGAAAGTTAATTATCTCCAAAATGCAATTGATTATTCACTTTGTGTTATGTTTGACTTGTCATTCCAAGACTCTTAAATATGTTACATGGTCGATCTCTTTATTTTATCTTTATGTTCAAGTGACTGACCCCCCGCGCCGTTCATCCTTGTATCGGATTTGGACTTTCCCAAGGAGCTTTGAACGCCACATTATTCCGCTGTTTCTGAGTTGAGAGTGAGTGCATCAGACACAACAAGCCTGCACAGACTGTAATGATAAGGTAAGGACATCCCCGCATGATGGATTGAGGCAGTGTGAACTAACTAAATGTTACTACCAGCCCATTATGAAGCTTATCTCTGAACAATGGTGGCGGTCCGACTATTCAGAAGGAGACATTGCTGATAAAGAGCGTTACTTTCAGATGGTGGTCTGCTTTCTGCCGACTGTGTGTGTGTCAGAGGAGATTTAGTTCATTTTAACGCGTCTGGGGCTCGTTGTGCTGTCTGTTACTGTTCCCGGGAGACAACCGGGAAGACAACGGGTCCCGGTGTTTTGGTTAGTGGACGCCAGCAGCATGCCTCCTTTGTTGAGTACAGCTAGAAATTAAATTTAGCGCCAAACATGGAGAGTAAAAGTGGTTTGTAAAGTTACGTTTTTCACTGACAAACAGCTGCTGAAGTGACCTCATTTGCTTCCTCACATTTCTGCCTCACTTCGTGTAACTTATACATTTTGGAGTTTAAATAATGTCTGTGAAATGTGTTCAATATTGTATGTTTCTATGGGAAGCAGCTTTTAATGACGTTTCATATTTAATTATATATATTTTAAAAAAAATATATATATAAATATTAATCTCAGCACAACCTGGTGATAAATCATGTGGCTGCCTGCGGGAGAGCACGTGTGTGACAGGCAACTTTGAAGACGTTTTCAGAGGAACCACGTGGGTTCGGTACTGTATCACAGGATGTGATGTGACAGTAGAAAAATCCACTGAAAGCTATATTACATGTCAGTGGTGACTCAAACCGCGTGTGGCTTTAACAGGTACGTGCAATCTATGTTTCTGTAGCTCACTAATATAGTTTGAATTACTTTAAATGTGACTCAACAGTGAATTCAGTTAGATGATGATCCTCAGTATTTACGTTGTTGTTACTGTAGGATGTGCTTTTTGTCACTGAGGTTACAAATGGAATGATTTTGAAGGGGGGTAGTTTTGTGGTATTACTCTAAAATGTATTACAGGATTACTGTAACTCCTCTAAATGACGAGGGATCTATCTGACTGAGTGAGCGGGTGTTTCCTGGCCTGGCTCCATTCACACGTGTCTGTGCTATTTGTGACTCTGCTGACCCTGAAGCAAGAGGAGAAGAGCGCAACCAGAATGGTGGCTTTGTTTTTTCGACTGAACATCTGATGGGACAGCAGCATCGACCCACCGCTGGGCGCACATGAGCATCTGTTTTATTGGAGTGGGAGTTAAGTTTTCCCATCTGTTGCCTGAGCTGACTGCAGCTACACGCCTCAGGGCAGGAAAACAAAATGTTATTTCTTATTGTCCACGCTGGCAGAATGAAGGGTGTATTATCTGGCTGTTGTGTGGTGATGAGATTTGGTTAAACTGACTCATCAAGAGCCCGAGCCCCTCTAGTCGTCCTCGTTTTGAACACATCAGCGATGACTGTAGTGTAGTCATGGCGATAAGTGGAGTTGCCATTGCCAGTTCATCAGTCAGCCACTTGAACCAACTAAGAAGACAGGCAGCTGGAGATGGGCTTTGTTCCTGCTCTCTGAGTGGCGGGAAATAATTTGTGGTGTGAAGGGGAGGGTCAGGGACAATGGATTTGGAGACCTTTCATGCTCCCTCCCTCTTGGCTTGAGAGAGAGGTTTTTTTTTTTTTTTTTCTTTCCAGGGTTTTCCCCCAGGGTTTACCTTTTTTCGGCTGCTCTCATTAGACTCACGAAGAAGGAACCTCTTCTCCCTGTGCTATTGTTTCCTGCTCTTCTTTGTATTATCCTGATTACATCCCAGGTTTACAAAAGCACGCCGGCCTCTGTGGTTCACGCCCCTGCACAGACCTGCGTCTGGGTGGAAGCTGATTGGGCGTGAATAAGGGCAATCTTGGGTACAGATTTTGTTAGATGTGTTCAAAGAAAAAGGTCTGTTTTCTTTGAGTTGTTTGTGCTTTCTCATAAAGAAGAGCTGTTTCGCAGTGACGTTAGTGCCACAATACTCAAGAGGACAATAAAGACAGTTGATTACTCATTTTACATTGTCTGATTAACTACTCCAAGCTGGCTGTCTTGATGTGCGCAGGTTGTTCCCCTGTTTCCACTAAGAACAAAAGCTTTAATGTTAAATTATTTGACGTGGGAACTTTTACACTAGAGGTTTGAAACTGGTAAAATATCTATTCAGTGTTTTCTCTTGTTCCTGAAAGATCTTGTGAGACCTGAAAAGTGCCAAGAGACATTCTCCTATGATTGGATTTCTGACACCATCTTCCCAGAAAACAAAGGCCCAGTCAGTGTTGTTAGAGGTTTGTTTGAGTTAATTTTATCGGTCTCTATGTCTCTTTGTCAATCAGAGCGTAAGGACGCCGACAGTGTTACCTAGGCCCGCTGCGTCTGCTCGGTTTCACTCTGAATATCCAAATGCCTCTCTGCCCATGTGGAAGTGATGAGGTGACTGTATTTGGCCCCCTGTCAGGGTCCCTAAGTTCACAGCTGTGGTTCAGATTGAGAAGTTGTTTAATCTTTTTGAGTTTTATTTTCTTTTTTATACTTTCTTCTGTCTATGGGATTTAATTTGGCCAGTAGTATAAAGCCAGTGGCTGACATGAAAGGCCTGTTTGACGACAAGCTGTTTGAAGGGACGGCTACTGACTGTGAGATTTATTTCCCACCAAACCACAATGTTTGCATGCGATGTTGTTAAATGTGTAGGCAGCATTGCATTTGCTGCCAGGGCGACTGGCTGCAAAACCTATCAGAAGTCACATCAACAATACGTGGCCTACTTTAATTCAAAATGTAACCCAAGACACCAGAAAGTGTGACTTGTGATTGTTGGCTTGTGCTTGCGGGTGTAAAAGCGTGATTGCTGCTGTTGATTGAAAATACGATTTTATTTATAATACATAATACTATAGTGTTGACTTTTTGTTTGTCAGTGAGTTGTGTATAATGTGCATTAGCCTCCTCACCTGAATGTTATCTTTGACAGCAAAGCTTCCAGTGGACTTTGTTATGGTTGTAGTTACTGTCTTAGTAAAGCTGGATTTCTGTCAAGTACGAATAGCCTACTGCTGATTGGGGCACCGTCGGTCCAACAACCTTAGATTGATTATATATTTGCACATGCATGTGTGCTGTACCATCTTCGTCCTCAGTGAATCACCTTGTTACTATATTCCCTGTCGTCAAACTAGTCGATATAAACCCTTAATTCACTGCAGTTAGATGTGAAAATACTCTACAGCTGGTTTTCCTGTCATGGACTCGCCGATCGCTGATATATATTCGTTCAGTCACCGTACCCTGTTGCTGTTACTGAGTGCTTGCTGCTCCTTATAAAAAGCATTAACGATCTTACAGTCTGCATTGTAGAACTGAAACAATGAATAAAATAATAAAATAGTTCAGCCCTACTGCTTTTGTCATCTATTGTCTTGTCTGAAACTCCGAACCGCTTACATTTCCTCTCACAGTTAAGTGCAAGCACTCGACCACGGTATGAGAGCGATACCCAACACTGCTCTGTGTAGATGTAGTCATTGTTCTGATTAGTTGAGTAAAGCCAACATGGAGCAACATTTGAAAAGAGAGGCTCCTCACCAGAAACTTATGTCATGTTTCAATTTTGTGATATGTCAAGGCCATTCCCCAGCGTTCGAGAATCTGAACACAATCACTTTGACGTTCTTTAATGTAAATGTAACAGATTTAGATTTTTTGACCCATGAAAGCCAATGCAAACCCTAAATATAATAGTGTGTTTAACTATGAATAAACTACCAGAGCTCATTATTCTCTCTTCTTTTTCCAGACATCTTCAAACATGGTCGTTTGTTTCTCAGGCTTTTCTCAATGATGTAATATTTAGAGAATCCTTCATCTTTTCCTTTGAAGATTAAGTAAATCGCCCACATGTTCCTCCATTTTTCTAGTCTGCCTGTTGTTGGACTTGTTATTAAATGTTAATCTGTCCTCTTCGGACAGGCTGCCGACAGAGTCTGTAATAACGTCCTTGAAAGAAGAACAGGAGGAAACGCAGTGTGAAATAGGAATCAAGGTTATAAAAGTCAATGTACTGCAACGTTACTGTAATGTGTTCTTGGATGTCTCGGCCCGAGATGTTGAGCAAGCTGCTTTTTATGTGTGTGTGTGTGTGTGTGTGTGTGTGTGTGTGTGTTTGTTGATCATTCTAGGAACGATGTGAAATTAGAAACTTGGTTGTCATGCACAGATGTGAACGGCATATAAATCACCAGAGAAGAGTTTTACGGGTTATGCATAGGAAGCCTTTTTAGATGGTGTGACGTCCAGGTCCCCAGTATATATATATATATATA